GATCTTATGGAGAGCGAAAATGGAGTAGCTGGACTTCTGGATCCTCGAACGCTCTATTATCATCAGCTGCCAGAACATTTTACGTTTGGTAAAGAAAGAAAGTGGAGTAGAAGAAAGAGGGGCAGTCGCCAAATTGGTCGCATGTACATGGTCACACCCACTGATCCAGAGAGATTCAGTTTACGTATTTTATTGCTTAACCGGAAGAACATGCGTTCTTTCGAAGATCTCCGCACAGTCGAAGGTAATGTGCATTCAACATTTTTGGATGCAGCGCGCGCTTTGGGACTGTTGCATGACGATTCCCACTATGAAAGTTGCTTAGAAGAGGCAGTTCACTTTCAGATGCCTGCGGAACTGCGGGCGTTATTCACTTACATGCTGGCTTTTTGTGAAACGTCTAATCCAAGGCATTTATATGACCGCTTCAAAAGTTATATGGCCGAAGATTTTATTCACAAAGGATATACAGTTGCTGACGCTGAAGCACTCGCATACTTCGAGCTTTACGATAAATTGCAACTTTTACGCTACGATCTTTCTGTCACAGTCACGCCACCCTCACAAAATAGGCCGGTTTTGGTGGATCACACTGATTACGCCTCCCATGAGCGGAAAGGCAGTGAGATGTACGAGCACCTCAATGAGCAGCAGAGGTTAACAGCAGATGATATCTTGGCATCTTTTGAAAATGACCGTTCCAAGCTGCATTTTGTTGATGGTCCAGGCGGTAGCGGAAAGACCTACCTTTATAATGCCGTTTACCACATCTTGAAGGGCCAACACAAACGTGTCATATGTGTAGCATGGACTGGCATAGCTGCAAACTTATTGCCTGAAGGTAAAACACTCAGTTCGACTTTCAAGCTCAACATGAAGTCCGGAAATCGTCAGTGCTCATTACGACGTGAAGACAAGGATGCCGTCCCACTCAAAGAAGCAGATGTTATTATTTGTGACGAAGTGAGCATGGTTTCGAAGTCCTCACTCGAAGCTATTGATCTTTTTCTGAAGGATTTGATGTGCAATAAAGCACCTCTTGGTGGGAAAACAGTGGTATTGGGTGGTGATTTTCGGCAAGTGCTGCCAATTGTAGAGCGAGGAAGCGAAGGAGATATGATTGATGCATGTGTAAAGAACAGCGACCTGTGGAGCTGCTTCACTATGCATCGGCTCTCTGTCAATATTAGAGCTGCAGAATCTGGCTCAACTTGGTGTGATCTTTTGATGCGAATTGGGAACGGAACAGCAGAAGAAGATGAGATGGGCCGCATAGAGCTTCCAGCTGAAATCCTCTCTAAAGGCGATCTTATCAGTGAAGTATTCGGTGATTTGTTGACTGATTTCAATACCTTGAGTGAACGAGCAATACTAGCACCTCGGAATATCGAAGCATATCGGATCAATGAAGAAGCACTGGAGAAACTCCCCGGACGAATTTACGAGTATAAGAGCGTTGACGATGTGATTAGCGATGAACCACAGAACCAGGGTCAAGCGTGTTGATGCGATCCGAGACCCCCATTTACGACCCCTCCCCCTTGAAGGTACCCATCCGTACGACCCCCCGCCCCCCATCTACCCCCCCCCCCCCCATTTACCCCCTTATCTCCCCTGCCCACATTCCTCGCGGAAACCTGTTAAACGAATGTCAATCTCAAAAAACATCTGCGTGAAAAACTTCAGTGAGGTTTCGGAAGCATAATTTCTAAGCCAATAGGTGCACCCAGCATGTGTAGCGCACATACACACCTTCAGTAGTGTTTGAGACTCTACAAGTTTTTTTTTGAATTTTCAGGCATACTTCAGGCCAGCAAATTCGGTTCCCGTAGGCGAAACAAATTTTTGCACGGAGAAGAAAATGACATTTTTGAACAACAAAAGAAGTTTTCGACTAAGAAGCTTACTTCCTACCTCTTCCACATTTTTTCCAGCGAAAAAAAAACGCTTTAGCGCCGTCCAGAACGACGTCAAAAACATGCATGAGCACGGTAATTTGAAAATTCGTAACTAAGGCCAGGAAAAGACTGAGAGGCTGCAAAGAACAGGTTCTGTAGCATAGTGCCCAGACTATTCATAGAAGAAGTTTCAGCCCTTGAGGAGCAGTGAGCTTGAAAAAATTTAGATGCGACTCTCGCGATTTTAGATGCGATCCTAAAAAGCAAAAACTGGGATTTTTGAGCTTAAAATTTTGTAACTCATCGGAGAAATTATGAAACGGCCTGAAATATTTAGGATATAAAGTAGGAAGATGGCCTCGTATTACAGCAAAATTGCAGCCAACAAGCTTCAATAGCTCCGGAAAAATCTAGATGCGACCCAGATACGACCCCCCTTTTGTCATTTTTTGCCACCATACATAAAATCATAAGAAAATCCGAAGGCCATAAAGTAGGACCAAATTTTGCACAAGTGTAGTAGAGCACCTCTTAAGTACAGATAAATTGTAAGGGCCGTATTAAATGCATTACAAATAGATTTACAAATTATTGATAATTAGCGTTGATAGAGATATGCGCTTTTGACGAGCGTGCGAGTCTTCAGTGAGCCTTCGGAAGCAGGATGTCTACACCAATCAGTAAATCCAACGTCTTTATCACACATACATGTCTTTAGCAGCCTTTGAGCTCCTAAAAGTTTTTATTTTTTAATTTTAGTCATGCCAGCAGGTTGCCAGCGATCCCCGTTTGCGACAATATTTTGCGGGAGAAATAGTGATTCCCATAAAAAAAATGAACTAAGTCATAATCTTTCAAAAGTGCAGCAAATGAAGCAAATTTCTACGTTTGCAAGTGTTTTCAAATTATTGTTTACGTTTTTATTTGATACATTGGACACGGCATTCCATGAATTTATTGTTAAGAACATGTAATAATTATTTGCCATCCGATTTCCTTCCATGCTTACGGTTATTTGATCCAAACTACCTCCCTTTACGACCCCCCCCCTCACCGCAGATACCCGCTTACGACCCCCCGTTGCGACAGTCGCATCACACGCTTGACCCTGCACAGAACGAATATACGACCGAATTTCTCAACAGCTTAGCACCTGCTGGGATGCCTCCTCATAATCTTCGGATGAAAGAGGGCTCGATAGTCATGCTTTTGAGAAATCTCGATATTAGAAATGGGCTATGCAATGGGACAAGACTGATCGTCACTCATTTTGGGCGTTTTATCCTAGGATGTCGGTTCGCATCAGGGGATAGGAAAGGAAAATTAGTGCTGATACCACGCATAGACATCTTCACTGAAGTAGGAGTACCTTTCCGATTGCGAAGAAGACAATTCCCTGTCCGTTTATCATTCGCTATGACGATCAATAAGGCTCAAGGACAGACCTTCACTAGCGTGGGCATCTCCCTTGAGTCTGAGGTATTTTCGCACGGTCAGCTATATGTGGCCCTATCTAGAGCCCGACGAATGGAAGGAATTAGAGTCTACAAAAAACAGGAAAGAGTGAAAAATGTTGTGATCAGAGCGGTTCTCAAATGATAACACTTATCTGTATAGAAGTACACCTTACAAATAGGCCGAGATGTTATGGCTCCTACAAATGAAATGTGCCTTAGTATGAGACAACTTTGGTTTGACGCGTGCTATAATTGTTCGCTCTATCCGCTCCACTCATTTCGCTCCAAGCAACACGAGTTTTTACTAAATTATCAATTGCGGAGTGGATGGATTGGATAGTAGCGTACCCCACTGAAATGAGCACCTGCCTTGGCCATAAGAAAATCATTCTAGATGCGGTTGCGTCCTTGCACATTTCTGAAATACTTTGTATCAATGCGCTTGCAAAAACGGAAATTGCTCAGTAATCGCTACAGGATAGTTACCATTATAAAATGACCTGTCACAGCTACTTATTTACCCTAAGACTTGCTATTATCTCTCACATGTTACTACTACTTCTGTTGCTGTTGTTACCTAAATACTGACTGCTTCTTTACGTAAATGGTAAAATACTGGACATCTCTATAAAAATGTACTTCTGCGTTTATGTTTAAGGTACCCGCACTAATGTTGTCAATCGACATAACCACTTATTCGCTCCAATGCTTTTTTCCCTGTTCATGCCGTATTTTTGTTACTGTTGTTTTCTATACTGTAAACTCCAATTCCACAATTTCCATGCTCAAGTCATTATCAGTTGAGATTTTTAGGCAGCTTGAGATCATCATAGCATGACTATAAATGTTACGAAACTTACAAGATATGAACAAGATTAGCCAGACTTCCAATCAAAAATCCTTGCACACATTCTGTTTACGAGCAAAAAGTTATGAAGAACTTCACGCATGCGCCAAATGATAGTGCGCAAGCGGCACAGTCTATTATTCATATATCCTGAGGGGAAAAGGCACACCAGAAAACCTTAAAGCTTCTAACTTTTGAGCATATCCCACTTCGCACACAGCCAGTCCAAAGCGCCGCGAAGCGGCGCTTTGGACTGGTAAGGAATATTGCACAAGGAGTGCTGAAGGGGCCAGGCTCTAGGACTGCTGACTGTCGCGGAGCGGCAACGCTTCGCGGGAATGGAATCTCGCGCGAACTTTGAGCCAACTTTTTCGAGTTTGAGACACCGCGATAAAAGTGCTCAAGGAATTAAAAAACAATCTTTTATTGCAAGGCAAGAGCCCTCGAAACACAGATTCGTGCTAATCTTACCATGAATCAATCCAGCAGGTGTTTTCGTATTTTTTCTTGTTCTCCATGTAAGGAAAATTGGGATAGTATCCCTTTCAAATCTTCAAATATTTCAAAAAAAATATTGAATGAGGGTTCATTTGCATATGCGCTTCCGCCATCTTCCTCTTACATGATCGAGTATATTCTGCCTCTGATCTCGTGAGAATTGAAGAGAAAAACGCTTTTTAGGATTTGCTAAATATTTTCTTCCGTTAATCATAATCATAATAAATTTTTAAGGGAAAGAAGTGTGGAACCACGAAATAGCTTTAATTACGGATAAACAGCTCATTAATTTGCACTTAGAACGACGGAGAAAAGACGTGGAAGAATTACGCCGAGATCATTTGCAATTCCTCTACAAATTTGCCTCTCGATTGACGCGAACTTGGTCAGATGAAGATGTACAAGATACAAAATAAGGGTGACAATGCAATATCTATTTGACTACGTATTATAGCTGTTTTTACGATTCTTGTTTGTGGAACATGCGCTGCTGATTATTTTATTCTTATTCGAGAGGTACTCATGGTATGATAAGTTTCTAGTGTTAAAAACTGTAACTTGTTCAAAACTTATCGACTGCGGTTGTATACTGTACGGCTCTCCCAAAATATACTTTTATAGTCGATCTCTGACAAATCAGTTAGCTCTCATTTGTATCAACTAACATTATCACTTGATTTATGTAACTTGTGGCAGCTCTGTCTCTTTTATACGTTAAGGCTAGACTTGTAACTGAGGCCTTTATAAGTATTAGGTTGGTGCAAAAATGAAAAGAGTTTTGCGAATTTTCACTTTTACCTACTATGACTTTCTAAAAAAATCTTTCATGTACTTCTCATTGCTTCGAAGACCAAAAAAACAGCAAACCTTCCGCAATACAGCGCACATTTACCTGCGCTAATATCATAAATGGGCTATAGATTCAAGAACTAAGAGTTTTTCCCCTTAAAACCTCGTCTTTGACGAATCATAATTCTTTCAAACTTTTATAATATTATGATTAGCCTATCATGTAGCCGCAAGTCAATAGTACAGCTAAGGTCCAAAAAAATCGAATTGCAAAACCGTCATCTTTTTTCAGCATTTTTTCGTAGGGCTGAGTAGTCCCAAACTATGGAGTTGTTTTGATTTTTTGTGCACTGAACCGCTAAGTTTTTGCAGAAAGCTTCAAAAAGAGGCCGTATTACGCTTACAGAAGTGAGCGAAGTTTGGCAATTGCTTTTTTCAGAAATCCTTAGACCACAGAGGACGCAACACTACCCATGTTGAGGTGTATCTAAGCTGCTCTCTCAGCTTAGATGATATCACAAAATATGGTTGAAAGGGATTATGTAGAGAATTTCTATCACTTGCAGCAGCTGAATTATAAATGCTATCATTCGCGCATTGATTCTGGAAAGAAAACTAAGTGCAATGAAATTCTGGTTCTGAGTTCGGTTATGTAGAGCTCAGGAAATTTTTAACAAATGAGGCTTGAACCTTATTCAGCACCATTGGACAGAGCATAAGAAGAACTTTCAACAGTGGGCTAAATGTCTGTTAAGGAAGGAAGTTTGATGAGAAAAAGTTGCCCCAGAACAAGGCCTGGAAAAACGCTTTAACTTTTGCGCCGCTTTGATAATGGACTCTTTCCGTTGGCAAAGTGAAATGTAGTCTTGACCAATTCACTCGAGTAGCACACAGCCTTTGATCTCCTACCTCAGCACTCTGCATAAGTACAGCTATCCATACATTAGCAAATTCACCAAAAAAAAAGACGTTAAGAGCAAGACCGAAAAAAATCATCAGATTTCTTACTAATAACTGAATAGAAATGGACATGAAATTGAAGCAGGATTTCCACGCATGATAATCTGCTTTTTACGGTCATTCTGCCCGTGCCTTTACAGACGTAGCAATTGATTAGGTTGCTGCTATTCAGAAGAAGCTCTCTGAATCATATCGTTAGAGAACTCTAATTTTTTGACAATGGAATTAGTTTCATAATGCAGCAAGATAAGCTGTGTAAGTTACAATTATTTGCAGAAGACGACTCTGTCATCCACAGAGGGATCAGAGTCCTGTTTCATTGATGCAAAATCTATTATTCCAACCGAGAATCATCAAAAATTGAGAGTCTAGCAAAAGTTACTGAAGCAAATCAAAAAGAGAAATCATATTTTGGAAAGCTTAGCTCGCAAAGTTAAGCATTGCCGTATATGGTTGTATATTGGTCTCGCAAAAATCCGTGTAAAATCCCTATTCTCGTGAAAGCACTCATAACTCTACCCTTACTTTGAAGCTCTACGCTTTTGTACAAACTCACCAGAGACATCGAGTAAGCTGCATTACGCAAGCTGTGGAGATTTCTCTTGGGCACAGATCAAGTATAAATGTAAATGATTACTAATTAATTATGGTGGAGGACAATGCTGGTAAATGCATGGTGCACATCTTCCATAGTTTTTGGAACCAAATTTGTCTTGGAGTTTGAGGTTCGAGAGCTTGTACTCCATTTAAATGGCAAACAGCATAACTCTGTGATGATCTCAATTTCTGAGGACTAAACAAACGAGCAAGTTTTATTGTCCGTAAATCTGTTTGCTATAATGAATCTGCATTGATGTTGGGCTCCCTCCCCGATTTGAACGGCACTTCCTGACAGCGCAGGAAAGATTGAATGTCATCCAAGCAAGAAATAGCCATTACAGTGAGATTGAGACTATTTGGAGAGTTGTAAAGCAAGCAGATGTGGCGATGAAATGTGAGCTGCTTCTTCAGCCACAACACCCAGTTTTAAACTCTCCACGACGTCTGTATATCTAGCTCTTCGCATGATATCTATGCGCAAATGTCATCCTGCAAGTTGTTTTTCGAAAATATTTTCGAGGAAAAGGTACTGCAAAAAAACTTTTTTCTGTACCAGTTTACATATTCCAGCAGTTGAAAATAATATTGGGTTGGCTAATCTAAACATATATTAGGTTGTCCAGAAAATAATGTCGCTTTTTATTTTAACATGCAAAATCGCGGCAGGGTGAGGTGAGCACGAAAGTAAGTAAATGGGGTAGCAACCGATAGATCAAAACAAGCTCTACAAAATGAAGCTCGAGTCTTTGCGCCAGGTTTGATTTGCGTGATGATTGGAGCCAAATTTCACAATGCACTAAAGATCTAAAAAAAACGAAAAAAATCGTACCTCTGTTTAGAAAAGTCCTGGGAACCCCTAACTTGCTCACGCATGGACTCACTATACGAGACACTCGTATGCACATTTTCGCGGTTTTTCCTTGGCTGAAAATTGAGAGGACGAAATTCGACACATTTTTGCCAAAACATCCTGAGCTTCTCTCACATGGGTGATTCTGTAGCACGAACCTTTGGGAGTCTAACCATGGATTTTCAGCTTTAGAGAACTGATTTTCGGGAAAAATCCAATTGTTTGCAAAAAACGCGAAAAACGCGACATATTCGCACTTTTGACTTATTTTTATTTCTCCTACTGTAGCCTAAAAATCACAAACTATACAGGTGAATGTCTAGTGTAGAGATTACATGCCTGTGCAAACTGGAGATCCATAAGACGTCTATGAACCGAGATACGACTTTTCGGATATCTAAAATTTTTTAAATTCTGCATTGGAACTTCAGGTGGAGCATGTTCCGCGTAGGTTTGTAAACTATCTTGTAGAGCTTGCTTTGCTCTATCAAATGATACCCCATTCGCTATTTTTTATAGTCATTCTGTTGCGGTAGGATGCCATGCGACATTATTTTCCGGATAACCGAATATAAAACCGAATGCTGGTAAATTGTTATTTAGTGTGTTCTGTACAGAAATTTTTGTGTGTGGACCAATCAGCGCCAAACTTTGCAAACATATGTTTTCGACACCGCTCCACCCTGTAGGCTACTTTTCGCAGCGAAATTTTTCACTCCTTCTATTGATTTATGGATTTTGAGGAAAAACGAACTCTTATCAATTGATATTCAACCGATTCCAGCTTTCGTGTAAACAATAGCGGTAGAACTCATTTCCATTCTATGATGAAAGACGGCAGTAAGTGAAAGATCTAAGAGATCTAAGAGTATTTGCCCTGCGTTGTGGGAGTAGAAGAAAGCCGAAACGCAGATAAGTTGAGTTTTCAGAGTTGAACACCAAATTTGCTCTAGTTGAAAACATGGTGCGGGTGGAGCCGGGCATGCCAGCTTGTAGATATATAATAATTACGGTCGCTTTTGCGGCTTCTACAAATGCTGCTAACAAATTTCTGTCCGATGCTTGGTATCGCTGGAAAGGGAGTTTTGATGGAAAGCGAGTATAGTTCCTGTCTGAGTAAAATTCTTTTTGTGAAGGAAAGGCGCAGATGTGAGAGCCCATTTTCTCATTGTGCGCAGATGTGCGGAAATTTCTTTTTTTTTCTGAGACAAAATGGCAGATCACAATTTTTGTTGTTCGCTGTGAAGAACATAGAGAAATGTGCTATCCAGTTACAAAGTTACTCATTTCTACATCCATCACATCGTGAAAGCGAAGCTTAGAAAATCAAGGAATTGAGCTTTTGGAGATTTAGTCATATTGAGGTTAATTGGCCTCTACTGTTAGTAGAAAATCCTGAGTTGGTGTATGGTAGTAGAAGCTCTGAAGTACTTTCTATTTATCCGTGCTCTTTTTTATCCGTAAATTTCCTATCAAAAATTCACGAATAAAAAAATCAAAAAAATTCTTTATGGCGAGTTGATGCTAGAACGATTTTTTAGCCAAGCTAATAGGGCCACCTAACAATTTCGGTCGTTTTCGGTCGGTATGCAGAAATGTACAGATATTTTCTAAATGAACGTTCGCCCTAAAAAGAGTAATCCAAGGAAAACCGAATGGTTAATATTGCTTGACAAATTATTTTGCAGATGACAAAAAGGTGCAGGAAAGTGAAAACAGACTTTTTCATCAAATCTCCAAAAAATCTTGCAATTAGAACTAAGCTGAAATTGGACGTAAGATGTACAATAAGTGCAAATACCATTTCGATATTTGCAGCCATTTACATGGGCATAGATGGACAAACACGAGCGATCACATCGCGAAGTTGACTTTCCCTCACAAATGTCAGAAATCTTCGACTATAAAAATTCGTTGCAGGCTTCGTGTAGCTCGCCAAGTAGCCAAAGGTTGATTGTATCCATTCTCATCTGTGCACTCAAAAAACGAAACTCAAAAAAATTATAGAAGGCTTTTTTTGAAGACTAGCCATGTAAGGGCGTAATTGTGATTTATTGATTAGGCAAAATTCTAAGGGCCGCATGCACTAACCTCCCCGCGTGGAGGGGATCGCAGCTTAAAACAAAGCTTTATATTTCGAAACTCCAGATACCTGGATTTCACGCTGTGTACCTATCCGTAAGTATTCCTACTACCCTTCACTATGAACATGTTGAA